GGTTTGGCTCCTTGGAGGGAGAGGCAAGGTCTCTTCTGACTTCAAGTCAAAGGGAAACTGGAGACACCAATTGCAAATACAGATCTACACTTGAAAGAAGCATTGCCACATGGTGTAGCAAATGATCCCCTCCTATCGTGATGCCTTAGGCTGTGCTGACAGGATGCTAGTGGAAGAAAAGACCATTGCAGGGTTCCACAGAGAGCACCCTTGGGTTGCCATGTGCCATGTCCTCCATGGTGACAGGGCCACAGGGGAAATCCTGTTCATCATTGATGCCCCCACCTGTGGCACAGTGCTGTGGTGGCAAGCTGGGCAGAATAGGCTTCAGGAACATGAACTCACTGTTGCCTGAGCGTGCTGTGAGTCTGATCTCATAGCAGTACTTGTGGGGCAGGGTCCCAGAAGTAGCCACATTAGCCAGGTCACTCTTCCATTTGCTGCCACTGCAAAGCACATGGACACACTTCATCTCCTTTCTCTTGCACAACTTGTGAGCAACGATTCCTGTTGTGGGTACAAGGAAGGGGAATGAGATGAAGACCAATGAAATGATAAAATAGGTTGTCAAGGAGTCATCCTACTCTTTCATGGCCAGGCTGTTTTGCAGTAGGTGCACATCTGAGAAGTGATGGAGCAGGAGCGTGCTCAGTGCCGCGGTGGCCGTCAGTGGTGGCTGCCCATTGTCTCGCACCAGGATGATGAGCTTCTGTCTTACAACATCTCTCTCTGTGACGGACCTCTGCAGCTGCACCTCCCCGCTTTGGGCACCCACCGCAAACAGCCTGGGGTCGCTCGTCTTCAGCATGTGGTACAAGAGCCACAAGTTCTGAAACAAGTGGCCATCAACGGCCACCACTTTGGTGACAAGGTAGCCTGCCAACATGGGCACCAGCTTGCTGGACTGTGGGCTGCTGTCCTGGGCTGGGTACAGCACCACTGGTGCATTGTTGTTATCGTCCACCTCAACCACACGGATGGTGATGTTTGGCACTAAGGGGCAGTGACCCCACATCTGAGCTGCTCATAGTCCAGGGGCCACATCACAAACAGATCCCCATTCTCAGAGTTCACAGAGACACAGGAGCAGAGAGACTGCTCTGTGAGGTGGCCCAGTGCCAGAGAATAGGTCACCTTGGCATTGAGACCCACATCAGCATTCAAGGCACTGAGAGCACCAATGAGCACCAGGGGGACCTTGTTCTCATGCACGTAGATGGTGTATGATGTCTGGTTGAAGACAGGTGCGTTGTCATTGACATCAGAAATGTCCACTCTGAACGTCTGGGAGGAGAGGAGAGGAGAGGAGAGGCGAGGAGCGGCAGAAATGTCCACTCTGAACGTCTGGGAGGAGAGGAGAGGAGAGGAGAGGAGAGGAGCCCACATCTGCTGCTGTGACAATGACGATGTACCGAGCTGTCTCCTTCGGGTCCAGCGTGCTCACAGTCACTAGTTCATAGTAATTCTTATTTTCTAGCCACAGGCAGAAGGACAGCTGGTCTTCAAGGTCACAGATCTTCCCATTGTAACCTCCATCTTGGTCCTTGACCGCAAAGAGGGCAACCACTGTCGCAGGTAAAGTGTTCTTGGGGAGCGGGCTGCTGAAGGAGCTGACCACCACCTCTGGGGTGTTATCGTTCACATCCACTTCCTCCACCAAGACCTTGCAGACTGCCAAGAGGCCCCCACCATCTGTGGCCTGCACGCTGAGCTCATTATTCTCCAATACCTCGAAGCACAGAGCCTTTGCAAGTTTAATTTCACCACTCGTGGGGTCAATCCCAAAGGCAGAATGGCTCTGGCCCACCCCTTGGCTGAACTGATAGGAGATGTCCCCATGTGCTCCCACACCCCAATGGGTGGCCTCCACACTCAGAACCACAGAGCCCACCAGAGCATTTCCCAAAACTCATCCACCATTCAGTGTCTGGGTGAAGATGGGAGTGTTGTCATTTACATTGAGAATGACAACATGGATTTGGGTGGTCCCGCTCCTGGGCGGAGAGCCCCCAACCACAGCAATGAGACTGATACTCCCCTCCACCTGCTACTCTCTGTTTAGCAGTTTCTCCAAGACCAGTTCCACATATTTATTATCCTCATTCTGATTCCCAAAGATGATAAAGTACTCATTCTTGGGAGCGATGCTGTAAGCCTGGTCACTGTTGCTGCCAACATCCAGGTCCTGAGGTCCCTCCAGCAGGAAACATGAGCCCGAGTCGCTCTTCCCCAGTATCTTAAAACTTATGTGTTCCTTGGGGAAGTCGGTCGAATGGTCATTGATGTCACTCACGGCCACCTCGACCCGCCAGAACTGCAGGGGGTCTGCCAGCAGCAGCTCGAAGGGGAGCGTGCAGGCGGCAGCGGGCCCGCACAGCTCCTCCCAGTCCAGCCTCTCGGCCACGACGGGGCGGGCGGTGCCGCGCTCTAA